GTCGCAGCAGCAGCAGCAGCAGCATCAGCAGCAGGAGTAGTAGTAGTAGTAGTAGTAGTAGTACTACTACTACTACTACTTCTACTACTACTACGACTACTTCTACTACTTCTACTACTTCGACTACTACTACCGCTACGACGGCGACGACGACGACTGCTACTGCTACTACTACGCCTGCTGCTGTTGCTGCAGCAGCTGCTGCTGCTGCTGCTGCTGCTACTACTACTACTACTACTACGACTGCCACTACTGGAAACTACTACTCCTGCCACCGCTCCTGCTCCTACAGCTACCCTGACTGCGGCTGCTACCTGCTACCTGCTACCTGCAGCCAGTTATCCTTGCTACCTGCTGCTTGCTGCCGGCTGCCTGCTACCGCTGCCGCTGCTACTACTTCTACCCTATCGCACTTGCCAATGAGAACATTGTGCTGATGCCGCGGATCTTTTGCGCAGTGCAGATGAACTTGATCGCCAGCTAAGGTTTGACTCCATGATGCTCTTCAAGTCTGGAAAGTCGCACCAGAGCTCGACCCCTCAGGGTTTTCTCAGTGGGCATGCTGTGTAATCACGGCCTCTGTCCTGACGAGGCGATGGCACCGCCTACATCATCTGCAGGGGTTTTTGCAGATGCGAGTGCCCTACCTTAGCCTCGGCGGCCCTGACTCGACTGATCAAAAGAGAGCTTCGGGTTTGGGGCTGCATAAAGCTTGCACATGTGGGTAGTTCTCTAAAAGTATGGTCCCTTTTGGGGTCCTTTCTATAAGGGTGCCGTATTATATTAGGGACCCAAACAGGGACCCTACTTTAGAGAACTGCCCACATGTCGCAGTCGCAGGTACGAAGCGATGCAGGGCGCAGAGCTGCTGCGGAAGTCCATCATGGTGCTGCTTGGCCTCAAACTGCCTGCCGCTGCTTCGAAGTTTAGGGTTTAGGCTGCAGGATGCTAAAGGCAACTGAGCTCCATTGAAGTACTTAAAGTACTTGTGCTGGGAGGTCAAGATACGAGCCAGATGTCCGAAGCTCATCTGGTGGATCGGAGCCAGCTTACCGGCGCATGGGGCGATGCTGCCGAGGTCGTGAATCTGAGTGAGGCACCCATTTTCCGTCGGGTGGCTCCATCAAGAGATGTCCGAGCCAGGCCGGTTTGCAAAACTTGCAGTGTAGGGTCATGAAAAAGTCACGTCAGGCGAGGGGCTCTACGAGAAGAAGGGGTTGACGTCACACCCATTCTTAAAACGTGGCAGGGGCTGTACTTCCATCCTCACGACACAGAGAGCAACAGCGAGAGAGACGAAAGCAATGCTGAGCCAGCGGTCCTACAAGTTTTGCCAGGACCAGAGAGGTCTTCTCGCTCGTCGACGATGCTATCAATAGATACAAGGATCCGGCTAGCTTCAGCTACACCTCGACGGCATGAGCCCAAGCTGTCTGCTTCAACTCCCTGCTATAAGCAGACGGATGGAATGAAGACGTATCTTGATTCCTAAATCCCATGCTGCAGGTGAAGGAATGGCGCTGTGCAAGATCAGTTCCATCCCTTCGCCGCACGGTCCGCAGCACTCTGGGCAAGGTCATGCCAGCTGCTGCTAGCAGGACGGTCATCTTCCAGCTGTCCTTGTGTGCTGTGTGGCGTGCTGTTCTTCAAATTGGATCATGCACCCGGCGCCGCGAGCTGAAGGATAGCTGCCCAACAACTCGAGCGCGCGGCAGATGATGTAGCTGGCATCAGCAGGCCCCGAGGGGAATAGCTCCGACCCGTGTTGTCTTGTGAACACCGTGTGAAGCAAGTGCCACGCTTTGCTCTGAGATGCTGAGGCAACCTGCACAGCTTTTCCTCAAGTCAGTTGTGGTTGCAAGGAAGCTGGACGAAGCAAAAGATGCGGACAGTCTCCGTGCAGAGCTGGCGGAACTGTCAGAGACCCAGTTTCTCCGCTTGCCGAATTCTGTTCCAGGTTGTTCAGTGGTATATCTGTTGGGTTGTTTTGTTTCTGGGTTCTGATATTGATTTTATGCTAGAACTATCTAACCCAAAAAAAGCATATCCTCTTCCCCTGCGGCGTATTCAACAGCCTATGTTAAACTGGTAGTGCGCATGGACTATGTCAAACTGTCCTACCTACTTCTAGGAAGCCGTCTGTGTGCCCTAGGCCCCAAACATGAATCAAGCCCTAAACCCAAACCCTAAACCCCCAAACCCTAAACCCCTAAACCCTAAGCCCTGCTACGAGGTGCCAGCGAACAATCAGCAGCTTGCGGGAGCGTGCAGCTGAATTGCAGCACATCCTCAAAGCAACAGAGGACACTCCCAGTTTACTACTGTAGCGCCCGCAATAGCATAAGCATGAGCACTTTACAGCCAACTTGCTGGGCTTCATTCTAAGGGGGTCTATATGGGATATCCCTATGCTGCGTGTTGCTTATGTGCTTTGCGGGGGGTCCGAGCTGAAAGCTCAGGTGTGTGCATGTGTCTGCAAATCTACACGTGTGTCTGAAGCGCGTGAGCAAATCCTCGCAGGTGTGCATGTGATGCTATGCTATGCAACGCGACCAAATGTACCTAATGATTCACTGATGACATGTAGGGAATAGTAGGGAGTGTAATGTAGTGCTATGAAATGTGCTGTGTCGCACGGTTGCGCACGGCATTGTGTTGTGTTATTTCGAGTTATGTAAGGGTACCCTGTTACCCTTCAATATACCAACATTGTGTTGTAGTGTGCCGCATTGTGCTACGTTTTGACATGCCATGTTGTTCTGTTATGCAGTTATGCTTTGTCGTGCTATGGTATGTTGGGTCATATGTTGTTTAGGTCCTACATGTGCCACGTACACACGTGTGTGTACACAATGGCCTCACACAGGGGCCTCCGCATTGAGAATAGGGTTTGGAACATGTTATGCTACAGTCTTGTGTGATAAGGCTATATGGGGGAGGTTGTTGCGAATTATTGCGAGCTCTATATTATTCGGCAAAGCTGGGCGCCAGCTCAGTGCAGCAGGAGACGCAGATCGAGGAAGAGAATTTAGATGACCTTCGGACAGGCCCCAGAAAAGGTAGGGCCTACCTTTGTCAGGGCTGCTTGGATCAAGGATCCTCGCATTTGGGATTCTAACTTAGGATCCCTCCATCTGACCCAAAGATGCCCCAAGCGATTCGGGTTTAGGCCCTGAAGCTCCAAGCCTGAAACCTTGCTTCTTAAATCGCTGCGCCCAAAAATCTAAGACTGGAGTCTAAATCTTTAAGACTCTAAGGCCCCAAAGCCCAATGCCCTCAACCCTAGGCCGACTTTAACATTTCGGATTTAGGGACTCGGGTTTAGGGTTTCTCAGAGTTTCAGATGCCAGTTGCCTGCCAGGGGTGCTGGATGATGGCTGGGCCAGAACAGCTGAGCCAGAAGCCGCGCCGAGCCAGTCCCTGCACGTCACCGGGCTCTTGCAAGGCGGGGTCGGACAAGAAAAACCCTGGAAAAAACGAAGCCCTCAAGCTCAAATCCTGAAGCCCATGAGCCTCAAACCCACAGCATATGTCTTCTTCGCAGGCATTGAAGAGTCCACGCTGCAGAGGCTGTGGATTAATTGTGTGTTGTGGTCCTTGCTGGTCCTTGGCGCAACTTTCTTTTTCGTATCATACACAGTGCAGTGCAAATGACTTACTGTGCTCACCGATGATGGCCTCAATCGCCACCACCTTACAGTAATACATCCTCATGGTGAGGGTGGTGCAGCCGTCGGAAGGTGCTTCGGAAGAGCAGGGAAGGTGGAGGAGATCCGCTTCCTGCCGCAGGACTCTGCCGAGCTTTTGAGAATTAGGTGACGGTAGTAATTGCTACTGGGTGCTCTTCGCATCGTTGGAGCTGCTCGTTCAGTCTTGGTTTCATGATGATTGTAATGGCGACACTGCTGGACCGCTTTGGCACGGTTATCAGCTTTGTTACAGTCGTAAGGGCTACTGCTATGATTGCATCGTGCACCTTGGTTATTGGTTACTATGAGTAGCATATTCCTATGCCTCCTTGTACGACTCATGAACCATGTTTCCTATCGTGAAGAGTACGCAGTCTTGCTTTTCTGAGATTGTGATAACACACATGCCTTCCTGCGTTCAGGGCCAGGAGACTGAGCAACATGTTTCTTGGGAGGGGTTGAAATTCACGGCGTTTTCTTTGAAACGTGCTCTCGTGATAGTTCCGGGTGCTTCTGCACGGATCTTGACGCACTTCAAGTGCATTTAGAACACCCTTTGGTGGTGTTGCAATGTTGGGCGACTGCCTGTAGGCTCGTTAGTCTGCTGTCTTCGCAATCGGTATCATATATCATCAAATTAGTTCTTGAGGCTCTCTCGAGCAGTCTTCGGCCAACTTAGGGGCTGACCGCGTGCAGGGTGTCGGGATGGGGATTCGGGTTGGGATGCTCTGCAGATGACACGAACAGAGCGTGATGCTTCACGTTGACAGTAGCGTGGTCATGGAATTTCTTGTTCCTTTTGCATTGTGGACACAGGATCAAGCCATGGCATCGAGATGCTCTGCCATGGTTCGCATGTCGAGCTGCGATGAGGCAGATAAGGGTTGGCATCAAACTCCACGGCACTGATATAGGGGCCTTAATAGTTGGAATAGGGTCTTGGGGGTTCCCTCTTATAATTTTATAATCATAGTATAATATGCCCCCAAACCCTTTTCCAATTATTAAGGCCCCTATATATTACACTGGGCTTTTTCAGGCCAAAGTGGCCAGAGAGAAGCTCGATGGCATCATTCCAGAAGGCACTGGTTTCGAAATGGAGCGCCGCTTGGATGAGTTGATCCCTTCAGCTGCTGCGACAACAGCGACGACAAAGAAGATGGCGACGACTACTGACTATAACAGAATCTATACTATACTTTACCATACTATACTATAGTATACTATGAGATAAAATATCCTGCTCCTGCTCCACCAGCTGGACTGAAACAATGAGTACCTGGGAGTACCAGGCACTATTGATACAACAAGTGCTACTAGGGTTTCATTGACGACGATGACGACGACAAAACAACCCGCAGCAGCAGCATCACAAGGTGCAAATTCAGAGGCAGCTATTCCAACGGTCCTGAGCTTCTTCCCGGTAGATCCAGCCCTGTCCCAGTTCCTTGGCAAGGAAATCTGATGATCACCTTTCAGGCCAGATGTGCAACTCGAGGGTTTTCTGTGCTGTCGGCTCGTCGAGGAGCAGTTTCGTACATGTTGATGCAGTTCAGGTGAAGAACGGCATTCAAGTTTGCGATCACCTCTTCGTTAGAGGTATTCCATCAGCTGTGCAAAAGCACCAGGCAGGCAGACCTTTCAGCGATGGGTGGCTGTGTTGATGTTTACTGCTCGGCCGGACACAGGTTGCATCTCTCTTCAACCGTTACGGCGAGGTCCTGTGGTCGAGTCGCTTGCATGAGTTTGGAAGATAGCATGGAGCAACCGCGGGAGCAAGCATAGTGCCAGTACTGCGAGTATCGTGCCCTAAGCCCTAAACCTAAACCTACTACGGGATGTGAACCCGAAGCCCTAAACCCGAGCCGAGGCATTCTCCCGCCGCGCATGGACGAGCAGGCCTGATTCAATTTAACGGCAGAAAGAATAGTTCTACTGTTACTGCTAGTAGCAAGTAAAGCAAGAGCCATGCTCGTAGTGTGTACTAAGGCTGGTAAGGCTACGTGACAGTGTCAGTTTGTCCACCGGCTTGGGATGGAGTGGCAGGGGCTGGCCAGAACAGGAGTGCTGATGTTTTCCGAGCCCAAAGCTGCAGGATCGCTGTGCCCTTGTCCAAATGGCAAGCAGCGATCAGGCAGCTCTTGCAAGCATTATGTTGATGGTTATGACTGCGGTCCATGTCCGATGAACTGTATGCAGATGTGGCTAGCGCAGACGGAGATGTCTCTAGCAGTGCCGTACCACATTGCATCAGGCACAGAATGCTATCCAAGCACTGAATTGGACGACTTCTTCAGCGCTCATGCCGGCCATGATGGTGCGGTATGCTGGTCACAAGGCAGTCCTTGCTACATTCACGTTGCAGACGATTGTCACTTGCACACGGCTGCTTCCGTCATCTGACTCAGGTCTTCGCGGCATTGAGGGACAATGACGATGGCATTGAGGCAGAGCCGTGACATAGGAAAGGCTGCATGGCTCGCGACCCCAGGTTGCGGGTTTCACTTTATAAAAGCATACTTTATGACTGCTAGCGCTGCTAGTCTTAAGACGAAGACCCTAGCGATGCGATGTTTAAACCCCAAAACCCAGCACCTTTACAGTCTACAGGAGGCAGACCAGGGGTCTGAAGAGGAAGAAGATGATGATGACTACGCGCATTATGGGGTGCCTTGGCACGGAAAGCGTCCGGAACCCTTTCAACTGGCCCTAGACCATCCGGGTTTAGCATTTAGGGGTTCAGGGTTTAGGATTTCATTATGGGGTTTAGGGTTTGGCCCTCTAACCCACGTGTTTGAGGGTTCCAGGTTTAGGGCTTATCGGGTTTAGGGTTTGGTGCTCAGGGTTTGACGCTGTAACCCAAGCCGCTGCAAATCCCAAGTGCTGGAAGCTCGGCACATTTGCTGGTGAGGTCATCGAAGAAGCCCCGAAGCCAGCATTCCAGCCCCTGAAAGAGAGGCCAGACAGACAAGGGAATACAAGAGGGGATTCAATATATATATATATAATAATAATAATATTCTATTCTATTCTATTCTATTCTATTCTATTCTATTCTATTCTATACATACATATATATATATATATATGAAACATAGCGACGTGTTCTTCTTGGCCTTCTGCGGCTCTGATGCTACACTGTTTCAGGTTGCCGTAGATGTGTTCGAAGTATAAATAGCTCTACTTTGTGGGGGGGCGATTCGGAAAGCTGAAATAAAGTGTTGATCACGCAGATCTCCTTGCTTGAAATCATGCGAAGCAGCACAGCTACAAACTCAAGCCCTAAAGTACCGTTCTGGCAGGCCAGTGGAGATGGGCTCGAGGTGGAAGAAGCATGAGGACGTGCTTGCAACATCACGCGGGTTTGCAGAAAACTGCGCATTGATGCAGAAGTCTGCTTTGGACAGCCGAGAGTTTGGCATGCCTAAGCACTACAGTGTGAACTGCAGCGGTATGCGATTCGCGCCAGTTGCATTCGGCATATCAGCAATATGTTACGGTTCTGTGTGATTTGAGGTGTAAGTTGTTTTGAGCTGTGTGTGATTCGAGATTATTTCGGCGATAGCCTTGCATGCCACTACATACACTTTGTGCGCGCAGCATCATCTGAGTCTGCTTGCTTGTCTATTTACGCAACCGAGGGTGCTGTCTCACTGCAGGAGGCGGACGATGATGGGCCCGAGGGAACTCGGCCAGGGTCACAGCCTGCACGATCCCTCGAATCATGGCCAGAAAATGATAGCCGTAAAGTATTACAAGGGCAGAAAGGAGCAGTGACATCACCCGGTACAAATCAGCAACGGAACTATGTCATGCTATCCTGATCTCATGAGATGAAAGTACCACCTCGTCTAAAAAAAAACATTGCCTGTTGTGCGAGGCTCTGGGGGTGGGCGATGCAGCCAGTGAAAGAGAAGAAGGAGTTCCCCGAACTGGGCCAGCAAAACTCGGCTGGGGGCTCGTGCTTCGAACGACAGACATGGTCCCGACAGTACCCCCTAAACCTTATTCCCTGAACCCTACACCCTAAACCCTAAACCTTCCCTAGAGCCTAAACCCTAAACTCTAAACCCTAAACCTTGTTCCCTAAACCCTACACCCCAAACACGAGTTGGAGCGAAGGGGAAGAGGGATGGAGTGGCCAGGCGGCCCTTCCGGACGACTCAGAGTCCAAGCTCGGGCAGCCTGTCCAGCAGGTGCAGACCTGGTCTGATAAAAAGAATACCTTTTGAATTCTGAATCTAGTAATCTAGTAGATTCTTTTCTATCATATTATCATAATTATATCATATTAAACTGTATACAATTCTGTTACGTTCCTTCCATATGCAGGTTGTCTTACCACTTCGTCAATCTTGCTTTAGCAGACTGGTTCCACCGCATTCACAATAAAGTGGTAAAGACCGGTGGCAAGCAAACCTTCGACATCCGGCAGTAACGACGTTCTGATGGTACAATGGTGGCAGCATTGCACAAAGACCTATGTAACGTTCTATCCAGTCTTCTTCTTCGGTTACAGATTCGCACTCAGCGGTGTAGCTGCCTCGTAGCAGCAGTAGTGGAAGCAGTAGTGGCAGCAGTTGTACTTGTAGTAGTAGGAGTAGTAGTAGTAGTAGTAGTAGTAGCAGCAGCAGCAGCAGCCGCAGCAGCAGCAGCAGCAGGAGCAGCAGCAGCAGCAACACGAGCAGTGTTAGCAGCAGGAGCAGCAGCAGTTGCAGCAGCAGCAATAGCAGCAGGTCGCCGTCGTCGTGTGGTGGTGATGCTTTGTAGTTTCGTGACTGATGTAGCACATCCATAAGCAGTTTTGGCGACAAAGATTTTCAGAAGCAGAAGCAGCAGTACGCTGCTCCACTGGACTGCAGTAAAGCCGCAAGGGTGCCAGTGTATCAACCAACGAACCCTAAAACGCTAAACCCTAAACCCTAAACCAACTGTCGCCAGGTCCAAAACGGATATCCTGGCCAGGTGGAGTCTTGGGAGGCGATTCCAGCAAAGTGCTTAAGAAAATGAAAATATATCTTATGTATGTATACATATATGTATATATATATAGATAGATATATATCTCTCTCTCTCTCTCTCTCGTAAATAATTACCATAGCAGCATGAAAGTGCTAATATTCATAGTGGTAACAAATGCAATGAAGATATGAACATTCATGTCATGGTAATTGGAGTAAGAAAAAAGTAATAGTCATAGTGCGAATTATATTGTTATAGGGGCAAGAGTCATAATTATGACAATGATAGTATTAGGTAGCTTCAGCATGAGCATTGTCGGAAGTTTCGGTCTTTGCCACCGTTGAGAAGAAGTCGAACAAGGCATGTCCTTCATGTCGTGGCCCTGTTCAATCTTGGAGTCTGATGATCAGGGCTGTCTGTGCCAGTAAAACAGGTGCGATGTACTGCTAGAGACTGCGTTTCGAAACGGAGGAGCTGGAGGTGGAGCAGGGGCCGTGCGAGTTCTTGTGCATGAAGGCCAGGTGAGTTTGTTGCTTGATATCTGCCTCTGCTACTTCTGCCGCCACCACTGCTACAGCTACAATACCACGGCGACTACCTTCAGCACGTTGCTGCTGCTGGTGCTGGTAGTCGCTACACTGTGTGGGCTCATCCTTTCAGGATGCTCCTTCCGGCCTCCCGGAGTCCGTCATGTGGCGAGCCTAGAGAAGTGATTGTGAGGGCTAATGCATAGGGGGAGAGGAAGGAAGGGGCTTTGACAACTCCTGCTAAATGAGGGTCCCCGTGACTGTGAGTCATTGTGAGTCGTTCTGCTTAGTGGGGTCTCTTGCACAGAGCAGGTAACAGCTGCTTGTACCCGAGACAACAACAGCGAAATGCGTCATAGTCAGACTTGGAGTAAGCACAAGAACAACAACAGCAGCAGCAGCACCACCACCATCAGCAGCAACGGCAACAGCAACTGCAACAGCATTAGTACATTAGCATTAGCAAAACGAATATTGATGGTGGTAATAGTAGTGACGGTACTAATAATAAAGAGAAAAGCAGCAGCAACAATACTAATAACATTATTGATAACAATAACAATTGTAATATTAATAATAGTATTAATAGTATTACTAGTATTAATAGTATTAATACTAGTAGTACTAATAATAGTATTAATAGTATTAATAGTAATAATAGTATTAATAGTATTAATAGTATTAATAGTATTAATTGTATTAACAGTATCAATAGTAATATTTATATTCATATTAATAGTAATAACAATAGTAATAGTAATAATAGTAATAAGCACAGCAATAAGATTGATAGTCACGGTAACAAGGGTATTAACACTAGCAGCATCCGCCACGCCTGGAAAGCTGAGTTGACTGAGCCTTCCCCAGCGAGGCAAATGTGGTTCAAACCCTACGGCCACGTGGTGGAGATGCGACCGCTGTGGCGCGCCTCCACCCCGGGACGACAGGCTTCGTGCAAGCTTCGCTTTCGTTTTGAAAGTTTAAGGTTCAGGAGTTTAGGGTTTAGGTTAGTAAGAGACGCATCATTGTCGTCCTTTGCTCTTGGAGGCCTTCCTTGTTCACATGTCTTGCGTCGAGGAGGCCGCAGCCCATTCGCTTGCGATCCTATCGTCAAACACCTATGAGTGAGCACAGGCCATCAATGCAGTTGAAGCGCTCAACGGCAAGTCGATCATGAAGGCCTGGCGTTCTCGACAGAAAAGTTCTGGAGATCAGAAGGGCTTACGACCTGCAACAGGGGAAGCCCCTACTTCTGGAGTACTGGCATGGTCCCGTGGACGATGCAGAGGAGCCCCCACAAGAGTCTTCTGCGGCAACAGGCGCTCTCCGTCAGTTGCTGCGCATGGAGTGCTAGTCATCTTCTTAGCCCGACAAGCCCGAGACGGTCTAGGGTTTCTATCCCCGAGCATTAAAACCCCCCAAGACCCAAAACCCCAAACCCTCAGCCCTAAACCCTAAGCCCTAAACAGCAGGTATTGACAAGTCCAAGCTGCTGGAGGCTGTCCGAGCAATGGGCAAGAAGAAGTCCAGCCCGGAGGTGCGAACACTTTGGGTTCTTCACAATAGCAAAAGTTAATTAAGAAACGTAAGAATGGTAACAGTGATACTAGTGACAGTAGCAACGATAGTAACATTCTTTTAGCAATTGTAAATAGAAATAAATAATCATATTGCCAATAGCAATGTTAGTAGCTAGTAGATATATAGTACGGAGAAAATAGGAATAAACAGAATACATCATATATCGTCAAAATAATGTCAATAACAAAAAATAGAAATAATTTCAACAATAGTCACAATAGTTATACTGATCAGAATACTAATGACATAATGAATAAAGTGAAATTCGAATAGTGGCAACAACAGTAAACAAAATAATCATAACAATAATGGTACTGACAAGACTAGTAACAACAGAAAGAACAGTTATCCTAGTTATAGTAACTGTATTAATGGTAGCAGTGATAGAAATTTAAATAATGATATTCATGGTGATAAAGTCGCATCTAACACTACGAACGATTGTAATCGTCACAGTTCTGTGCGCAATCGACGGTTCCTTGCTTTGCTTCCCCAGGCCGCGCAAATCACCCTCAACGGCACGCAAACCATGCAGCCCGGTCCTTGCACAGGTGGGACATCAGGTAGAAGATTGTGGCATTTTGGCATAACACCGGCCATGAGATTCTAGGCTTTAGTTACTCGAAGGCATCAGTGACGCGCAGTTGCTGGAAGCCTGCCGGGCAGCCCTCGCGAAGCGCAAAGCTCGGGCGACGGAAGTCGCGCCTTGGCAACCTTCGACCGCGACCTCGGCATGTTTGCCGATTCCGAAACGGCATGAAAACAAGAGGCATCCTGCATTGACGCTGCTTCCGAGCCAGGTGCCGGCGGACGCCGTGGAGGAAGAAGCTCCCGTGGTGGAGGAAGCTGCCCTGCAGGAAGAAGCTCAAGACGAGAAAGCCATCCAAGAGGAGGGCCGGAGCGGTGCTGTAGTGTTTCGGCATGCCTTCTGCGGCTTTCCACACATGGACGCTCGAAGGATGATGATGACAAAGAGTCTTGGGAAGCCTGGGCCAGCGACGACGAAACAGGCAGGACTTGTTGCGTGTTGGTCGCAACAGACTGCTTTTGCTTATTTTAGGTAATTCGCTTATGGCGCTGTAGGTGCAGATTGCGACCCTGGACCGACAGATTGCATCTGCATGACTGGAACACCTGCGGGGATGCACGAAATGGTAATGCTCCTCGGCTGTCAGAGTAACTGCGGAGGCTGAATCCTGTCCGAAAGGCCCGAAAAGCCTCAACACTATAAACCCTGTAAACCTCGAAGCCTCACTGTGATTTGTCACCGACTTGCGTACACGTACACCTTGGTTGCTTGTTACGTTTCATGTCAACTTTTCTCGACTCGCAGCTTGACTGCTAAAGACGTGCCTCGTGCAACTTCCAGCAAAAGGCCGCTGGTGCGAAGGGTCGCCCTAGCTTTGTCTCTTAGCTGCGCAGTCCTAACGGAACTAGACTCCGATCTGACCTCAAACACTGCCTTGCTCTGCTTCTGCAGTTGCCTTGCTTGCTGGGCCCTGCTTTGTGACCGAGAGTTAAGTGGACTCCTTTGCTGTTTACACCTAAACCTTCAGGCCCTAAACCCTGGACCGCGTCCGGCATCCAAGGCAGATGTGGTTCAAGCCACATGGACAAGTCCGGCAGTTCCGAGCTTTGACCCCCGCAGAGACGGGCTTGGACAAGTCGCTGCCCCATACAAGTCATCGCAAAAATTTTGCTACATCCTACTACAAAACACGTACATATATATGTGTATATATATATATATATGTATATGTACACATACGTATAGTTAGATATGTCGCACATGTATTTGCTGTATTAATGTGCATACATGCATGTTCATACATATTCGTCTGTATATGCACTGAGTATCATAGTATGCCGCACTATATGTATATACGCATGATATTATCTGTATACTTCATTCTGTATATGGTCTAGAGCTGACCTAGCTTATGTTCAAGCTGTACATTATTATTATTATATATATATGTATATACACACATACACATAGAAATATGTCTACCCATAGTCTCCATTGTAGTTCCTTGTTCTGCGTTTAGCCAATTTCATGCTTCGGATCTTGTCAAGCAGCCCCAAACGGAGCTACAATGGAACCTACAGGTAATTTGTGCACTTTCATAGCATGTCTTGGGGATTTGATTATAGCCGAGGCCTGCCTTCCTTGTACAGATGGGCAGCGCAGAAGAAGCCGCTGCAGCCTAGAGCCCGGCGTCTTTGAGCACGGTAGTACGGGCTTCGGCTCGGTGAAGACGGCAGCAAGTATTGTTCAGGCCCTCTCTTCATTGAATGGCAAGGCCATCATGCCTCTTCGACTGCACTTGGGGAGTTATGGGGTTGATCTTTCTGTGGTGGATGCCATGATGTAGCGCTGTTGTCAGCAGCTGCGAGGAAGGGCCAGCAGCTCGTCCTCGAATATTGGCGCGGAGGCTCCGGCGCGAGCAATCTTAAGCTTTCAAGATCGCTCCTAGGTCGGTGCCACCTTTTGCAAGTTGTTCTTATCTTCATCATCGCCATGCCGGGAGTCTGTACAAGCCTTGGCCTTTGCAATTGCTAGACTTCGTTGGTGGGCGATGAATCTAAGGTAGGAATCGTTCGGTCTCTGTGGGTTGAAGGTTATGCCCACAGAATACTGACTTCTTTGTCCGGCTAGGAGCTGCGCCACAGGCCGAAGAGTCGCGAGTGTTGCCTGCTATCTGCAGCCCTAGGGTGTCAGCCGGGTGACATCCCCAACCCCTATTATAAACTATTCCATTACATCATACTGCTCCCATGCTATTTAATGCACGATGTTGTGCCATATTCTGCGATGTTGTGCTATCATTTTGCAGTCCATGCAGCGCCTTTGGACAGGCAAGTGAGACCCTCAAAAGCCGGTCTCACTCGTTTTCCAGCTCCTTGCGCACTTCGTAGCGCCAAAGGGCAACACTACGCTTCGCCAAAGAGCGAAGGGCCGGGAGGGACAAAGCGTCGATTGAGGAACTGGCTCCGAAAGCTCCAAAGCTGAGTAGACAGGCTTGCAGGCTCCTGTGGTTTGTGGGGCTTGGGTTTGGCATAGGGCTTACTTATAAGGCAACCTAAGTCCCGAAGTCCCAAGACTGAATGCGCTGCTCCAGCACCCAAGGTCGCTTAGCGAATCCAGCAGCTGCGCTTTGTTGATGAACTGGCAGAGCATGCTCTTCGCAACCTTTCGCCCCAAGCTCGTAGCCATGTAGAGCCTCGAAGCTTTTCCCGTGACTCCGGCGAGCACATCTCGAGATCGATAGGTCGCCGACTTGGACATTGGAACTCTCCCTGCCTCCACTCTTCCTTTACATGATAAATTTCACCCGTTACAGTACTTACCCCACTATATCTTCTTAAAAAGTCCTGATATAAGTCTACTACGTAAATCTCCTTCTGAGTCTCGGTCAACACCCCATAAGTCCAAGCTGTATTTTGGAATGACCCACGCAGGGTATGTCACATCTTGCCCTATGTCACTCTACGATTCTACAGTCCCCCCACAGTCCCACCCCCCTCCCCCGCACCCTCCTCTCTCCCTGGGAGCCAGTTCTTTTCCCAGCTCTTTGAGGTGGCCATGGACCAAAAGAAGCTCCGCGAGCTGAACTGGCCTCAGTCATCTGAATGCTGGCTTGCTCAGGATATATGATATACATTGTATGTATACATAGATAAAAAACAAATTCAGGTATGTATTTATTTATTTACTTCATGTATTTATTTATTTATTTAAGTATCGATTTATTTAAGTATGTATTTATTTATGTGCGTGTAGATGTGTAAGTACATATATATATATATATATGTACATACAGATGTTTACATACAGAATGCAAACAAGTAAATAACCAAAGAGGTGGTAAGCACAGATACATCAATATGTGCTTTGCGCAGCTGCTTCCGGCCAGGACCAAGCAGGAGAAAGCTCGGCGTGGGCCCGGGCAGGCCGGGCCTTCGCAGGAGTTCATGATATTCCCAATCCCGAATCCATACTTCGCGAGTTCTGCAGTCTAGAGACTCTTCGGCGATGGAAGAGGCCATACCCTAGGGGTTCAGCGTGTGATGTCAGGACGTCGCCAAAGAATTTGGGCGAGAGCTCAGGGTCTTGTGGGGGTTCAGGTTTCGGCAGTTTTTACAAGAGTGCTCAACTTCTATAGCACCACGAGTGGAGTTTCTGCCCACAGCTGCAACCTAGAACTCCTCAGTGCGACTTAAGATACATACTTACAAACTTAAGGGACAGCATGCAAAATGGTTTCGGGCACCAGGGCAAGGGCGATAGGTTTAGTAGGGTACTAAGCGAAGGGCGAGCTGCCCGAAGCCCTAAGCCCCAAACCCCAAGCCCTAAGCCCCAAACCGCAAGCCCTAAACAATTCCCCAAACCCTATTTAATGCCTAAACCCTAAAGCCTAAGTTGGCTTCCCTCGGTGTGGCCCCGCCCAGGGCACTGCGGTGGCGTCAGTGCTCAAGAGGAAACAGGAAGCCAAGGCAGAGTTGGCAAAACGTGCTTCGCTAAGCATCCGGTGACCCAATAGGGTCGCAAGGCTCTAACAATTAAGGTTTATGGTTTGTAGGGCTCTATAATAAGGTTTCTTGTGGGGGGATAGAGGGGCCTTCATAATTATAAAGAAAGTTTTTGGGGCTTGTGGTGGGCGGGGCTTATAGGGCTTAACATGAGGCCTCAATAGTGAGATTACGGCTTTGGGGAAAGCAACCGTCGGTTCGTAACTTGTAACAATAAAACGAAATATACAGCACCCCAAGCTAAGCCCTCCTTCGCCTTGCTAAGGTGCCAAAGCCGAGGCTGCAAAAATGCTGCCTCCGGTGCTGACCTCAGGATGGCACAGTAGCCTATGCAGTGGGTTGCTTTTGTTGCGGGTTCTGGTTGAGGTTGTCTTACGGCTAGACAGGGAACAGTGGCACAACATGGTGATGAATAGAGTGATAGTATGGGCCGCCATTACATAGGGACTTGGGCTCTGGAGCGGCACCCCCAGGCGGTTCCGAAGACAGCCGGAGCAGAGTCGACAGCGCCTGAGGAGAGCACAGCGGTGTCACGGGATCCCTTAGCCTCCGAGCCGCCTGCGCGAGGAGGCGGAACTTCCTGAAGCAAAGGATGCAGAACAGATCCCAGCTGCTGCCGACAAAGAGATCACTGAGCCTCTTGAGGAGGAAGAAGACGCAGAACAGGAGGACTGGGACAGCCGGGGGTACAGTAGTTGATTCCATAAATAAAGATGCCTCGCATATCCTAGAACCCTAGACCCTTAACCGACCCAAAGTTCAGATACTCCAATCCCACACTACATGTAGGAGGCCATGGTGGGCCCACTTGCGGCACCAGCTGAGAGCCAGCAGCTCAAGGCAGGATTATATAGTTGTGGGGTAGCTTGTTTTTGGGGCATGTTGACCAAGATATTCTCCAAGACGTTCTGGATGACCAAGATATTCTCCAAGACGTTCTGGACACCTCATGGGTCCTGGTCCTACTACTTAGGAACATGTAATAGGATCCCCTTATTCTCGGGGTAGTTTGGGGTTCGGTTTAAGGGAATTAACGATGATACAATTGCGAGAGCCAGCCACCTTCCAGGCAACAGGGACGCTGTCCGCAGCGCCGGCAGAGGAGCCGCTTGCGATTTCGACGACATGGCATAGGTTAACCAGTCTTATGGTTAACTGCTAACTTAGTAAGACTGAAGCAAATGTTTGTGCGAGATAAACAGGTGATACGTATGTATTATGTGTATGCTATCTATATATAGATAGATTAACATGCAGACATATGCGAAGCTTTCATGGTTTGCAAACGCCATTCTCGACGTCAGTGCGTTTCTGCTCCGATACCTCGAGTTCAAGATGCACGATCTGAGCCTCCGGTCTTCGTGAAATCAAACTCCTCTGCAGTTGCACATTCGGAGGATTCGCATTTCGACTGCCCTGCCTGTATCTCTTTGGCCAGCCCGGACGAGCCTACAGCTCTTGCAGCCCGCTTCTCGCAAGGCACCGAAGCCTGCCGAAGCGGAAGCCGAAGAAGGACAAGACGATCAGGTGGCGAGATTTCGAAAAGCTTGCACATGTCCTCGAGCGATATGCGCAGTAATTAAGAAGTGTGCGTAATCGACGAAGGCAGCCGGCACTAGATTCCCTTCCATGTTTGACAGATCTGAACTTGCCCGCAGGCCCTGCCTGAAGGGTTCTTTGACGACCCAGAGCTAGATGCAAAAGTGAGGGGAATGGAGGTGGGCCGAGGGATGCCAGAATCTGTCGAAGATGCGGCTTGGAGCTGACTTCCAATGCATACTCGTAGAACATAGACGAATGAATCAACAATTCAAGGTACTAGTGGATATGCAAATGCAAAGGTGTTAAGAAGTTGGTACATGCAGAAAATAACTGAATGGTTACGAGTGTACATGTACACATACGTATTTACATATATGTATATGTATGCATATATACTTACCCACACGCACATGTGTATATACATACATATATATATATGCATCTAGACAATATAAAGTTTAACAAGACATTCACATGTAGTTGCATGTACGTCTGACGGTCACCAAATACGTGCGTATGCATATAATCAGTTATACACCTTTGTAAATCTTTATATTAATATTTATATCTATATCTATATTTGTATCTATATTTCAATGTATTTATGTTTATAAACATACGCGTACACACACACACACATATATATATATCTGTGTGTGTGTGTGTTTGTGTGTGTGTACGCGTCTTGTTGTTTATTTTGCCCAAGCCCATGCGATTGCAGCTTTCTTTCGTCACTGGTGCTCCTTCGGCTCTGTGTGTGTGGTGATGAAGATGATGATGAGGAGAATGTTGATGCAAACGATGACTATGACCACACTGAAACTGGCATCTACAACATAGTACTTCTTCAGGTATCAATGCCGACACCCGTTCCATGTTACGCACCAAAAAGACCCTAAATCCGAAGTCTAGCACAGCAGATTCAAAAAGGCACTCAATCTCCAAAAAGGAGATCTGATACTATAAACCCTGGAAAAAGCATTGCAATCAAGACCGTGAGAACCTCCGCAGTCAATGAGGGACCACCTGCCGTATGGTGAACACCATGTGCTACCGGAATAACCCTGACATAGGGCCCTAAGAATTCGAAAAAGGTTTTGGGGCCCATTGCACTAGAATTAGAATCGGAAGCCCCAAAAATACTTTAGGTAATTATAAAGGCCCCCTACATTAACAGGGGGGTGCTTTGACAATGGCAGGCACCATCACGAAAGGCTGAAAGGGAAATCGAGGAGGGCCTCCGAAGTCAGAACCTTAGAGCTTGGGGCGTTTTAGGGCTGAGGGTTTAGGGGTTTAGGGTTTAGGGTTTAGCGGTTTAGGGGTTTTGGGTTTTGGGTTTACGGTTTAGGGTTTAGGGTAGTTCTCCAAATGAGGGTCCCTTTTTGGGTCACCGAAATAATACTGCACCCTTGTTTAAAAAAGACCCTGAAAGGGACCCTAATTTAGAGAACTACCCTTATGACTATTACGATTACTTCTGTTGATGATATAGATCCTGCATTACCTTTAGGGCCCTAAGCTATGGGAATTTTGGTGTCTTCCCTTATTATGGGTCATGCAGGGTTTATATCATCAACCGTCTTGCTGTTACTATTATTATGAGTTCTGTTATTGCTCTTATTGTTATCACTAGTGTCATTGATTCTATTACTACTGCTTATACTATTGTCATTAATGTTATTACTTGAGTTTTATTTGAGGTCCTAGAGCTTTGCGTGTTAATGGCTTAGGGCTTTTGTGCTTCGGGTTTTGGTTTCAGGGTTTTAGGAGTCTAGGGTTGTCATGTTTATGTGTTAAGGGTTGAGGGCGTGGGGATTCACTGTTGCGCTTAATTAAGGGTGCAGGGCTGGGGGTTGTTGGAGTTTATGGCCCGAGCCCCCCACCCCCCCCCCCGGCAAAGCACAAAAGCGCAACACCCCCAAACCCTAAACCCTAAACCGCAAGACCAAGGGTTTGAAAGGGAGATGGCCGCCGAGCAAGAGAAGGCTGAGGAAACCAGGCTCGGGGGCCGAGGATCGTGGCCTAAACGGTTTAGGGCTTTAGGGCCTAGGGTTTAGAGTTTAGGCCCTAGGGTTTAGGGTTTTGAGCCTAGGGTTTAGGGTTTAAGGTTTGGGGCCTAGGGTTGAGGGTCTGATGATTAATTAATTAATGCTATTTCGGGGTTCCTGATAATCACTACAGCATACTATGCCCCAAAGCCCCTATTCTGTGTCTTCAGGCCTCTATACTGGTCATCCAGGGCACTAAAGCAACACAGAAGCAAAAGTAGCATAGGAATATACCGTCTATATTTGCAGCTCGCCTCAACAAGGCAAGGATGTCCATGTTAGGTGCTTATCACTTGTGCTCCCGTCCCTTGTTGGTCCCTATACTCAGGGTTATGATATGGGGGTTCTGTGTGTGTAACGCTTTCCGGGGGTGTCGATCCCGGAGCTTCCGTCTTTTGGAATCACCTTGGCCGGCCAATGGGAGAATTTCAACTTTTGTGCATTGTGTGTTTGGTCCATCTTCGACAGTTTGAACTTTTTCGGTGGCCGGTTCTTTAGGAAGAGAATCACGGGAAAAGGGGTAGCCGGAGGATGCAGGGTCTGCTCGGGAGCCGAGCCCCCTCTGGAGCTTAGCAGGAGGCTTAAGGCTTAGGGTTTAGGATGCTTTACGGTTTCGGATGCTTTGGGGTTTAGGGGGTTTAGGGCTTCCAGGGGTTAGGGGTGATGATACCTGCGCTCTGTTTCGGTATTGGGGCCTATCGGATGTTAGGCTTTCTGGGCTTCGGCGTTAGAGTCTGGTGGTTTTGGGGCCAAGGGATTACGAGACGGAAACAGCTGGCTTCGTGTATCTTGCACGAGAGTTTCCATGCGGTGGTAAGATCTGCGAGCGCAGATGCCTTCTCACAGAATGCGGGTCCCACATGCACACGCAGGCACGCGATTGACGAGAAGAAATATGAAGCCTTAGCCGCAGAGGAGGAGGAGACTTTAGGGGTTTGGGGTTTTGGGGAGCCTTCCATGCAAGACTCAAACACTCTTGCTGTCTCGGGCTTCAAGTCAGGGACCAGGGCCTCAGGGGCACCTGTGCGGAACACTCCTAGCGCTCCTAAACCCTAAACCCTAAATCCCTAACCCTAAACCCTAAACCCTAAACCCCTAAACCCTAAACCCCTAAACCCTAAGCCCTCCTGAGGAGTTCCAGACGCAGCTGGAGTCTCGGCTGGTGAAGCTTCGACAGGCGGCGAGCGAAAGGAAGAAAGGCGGGGGGGTTTAGGGTTTAGGGGTTTAGGGGTTTAGGGGTTTAGGGTTTAGGGGTTTAGGGTTTAGGGGTTTAGGGGTTTAGGGTTTGGGGTTTAGGGTTTAGGGGAGTTTCGAGATTGAACAATGACAACAGTAGCAATAGTAAGCATGGTAGTTCACAGTATAAAAGAGTAGTAAGAAGACTAGTAGTGATAATAATCAGAGAAAAGCAACACTAATAATATTCGCAACAGTAAGAAGAGTAATAATATCCTTCTCTGAAGCGCCCGACAAGCGATTATCAAGTTGTCTGTAGTCGGCTGAATGCAATGTGTTATCAAGGCTTTTTCAACGAGTTGCAGCATTGCTCAAGAAGAGCATGTAGCATGTTAGCGCACCCGGTGCAGCCGTAGCTGGAAGGCATGGACGGCGCAGATGCACCTTTCCCTGATGTGATCTCCCAAGGAGATGCATCGGAGCTCCCTCACAGCAAGCACGACTCTGAGAGTCTCCCTCCGCTTCTCGTAATCGAGGCTGGGGAGATTGAAACTCGCCTGCGAAAGCATCGCGGTGGCAGAAAGCTTCGAAATTCCCATCGTGGTCCTATAGACTATGGGTGTACCGGTTCATTCATAGCTTTGTGGCTCTTAAATTACAACCCAGGCATGCTCTGGAGCTTACAGAGCCCGCCATATCCCGAACAGCCCTCTTCGAGGGCAAGCTGCGGGAAGTTCGCGTGGCGGCCGAGCGCAATGCCGACAACCTGAAGCAGCTTCACCAGAAGCTCTCTAGCCAAGACGGATTGAAGAAGACTATTGACTCCTTCCGCTCTGAGCTTGGTGAATGGGACAGAGAGCGACGGGACCACGAACACCTCTTAAACGAGAAGACCTGTCTGCAGGACAATGAGCTGAGTGCTCTTCGCAAGATGATTGAGGTGCAAGCCTACTCGACTGAGGCGTGCCAGCGTGGCCTGAAAAATGTAGGGGATCTGCTAGCTGCGACAAAGGACGAAGTCACCCAGCTTCGCGACTACTGCTGCGACCGGGTCGATGTTAACAGAGACAAGATCATGAAACTCAGAGATGAGGTTGAATCCAAGTTTGCAGCAAGCGAAAGCACTCAGTTCAAGCTGCACGACGACGTCACGAACATGGCCACTGTTTTTGCCCACTTGAAGTCGGAGATGGAGCGCATTGGCTTGGTAACCGCTGAAACCATGGAGAGTGTTGCCGATCTCTGGCGTGCAAAGGCTTCGGCATCCAGTGTAGAGGAGCAGCAGCAAACGTTCATGGAGTTTCAGCGCAATCTGAATGATGCCGTCGCTTCACTCAGGCGCCGGCTGGGTTTTGTGGTGCAAACGATGTTGAGGAGTCGGTGTGTCTTCTTACCCGAGAGGGCACCCCTTTCAGATCCTACTTCACATTGTTGCAAAGGGTCTCATTCTTGACAGTGTCGCCATCCTGGATTCTAGTCCACAGTTGCTCTTGCAAGCTGCTTAGGAGTGCATTCAGCGAGCAGTGACTTTCTTGAGCAGGCTACGAGTCAACAGCGTGGTGGACGAAGTGAAGGGCCACTTTCAGACAGCTGTCCGGGTGATCTCAACATCCACATCCAAGCAGATCGACACCATGCGAACGCAGTACGCTGAGGACATTCTCTCCAGCAGCACTCGACCCTACAGGCCCCTAGGCCCTAGACCCTAGAGCCCTAACGCTTAGAGGCCTTGATTCTAGAATGGAATATATTGTAAGCTACCGTGATTAATTAATACACTGCAATGATACTATAATATTACTAGAATATATCATTATACGTGCACGCCCTGCGCCGTGAGGACATTGGCCGGATGGACGAGGCACAAGCTTTTCTAAGCCACTGGCACACTTTGTGCAACTCATAAGCTGAGTTGTATTGCAGGAGTAGAGAAATGAAGACTACTGTGCAGATTTGCATATGTATATGCATAATGTATACGTATATGTGTCTACTTATCTACCTATCTGCCTATATACCTATCTACCTACCAATCATCTCTCTATCTGTCTATCTATCTATCTATCTATCTATCTATCTATCGATCTATCTATCTATCTAAACATCCATCTATCTATCTATCTAAATATCCGTCTATCTGGCTACCTATTTATTTATCTATCCATCTTTACATAAGTAGTAGAATGGGAACCCCGAAACCTGCCGCCCGAAGCCCCAAGAATTCCAAAGCCTCAAACCCTTTCACCCACCAAGCCCCGAGACGATGTGGACAAGCCCAAAACCAGAAATCCGAAAATCCCAACCCTCAACCCTCAACCATGGGGTTTGGGGTTTAGGAACCCTGCACCCTAAACCCCAAAGCCCCAAACCCTTGAACCCCCCCCAGGACCCCAACTTCAAGATGCCCTGAGTTTCAGAGGTCATGCAGCAAAACGCGAGCCTGAGCGAGATCCTCCGTGGGAGCGAAGACCAAGCAAAAGCTCATCTGCAGCAGCTGCAGGAAGACCTGAACAAACAGATGCAGGAGCCATGTTCTTAGAAGTTCAAGAAATTTAGTAAGAGCTGTTTGGGCATGTTGGGGCTCTCGGGTTTGATGGCTGAGGGTTCAAGAGAGTTGGAGGCCGTTATTAAGTAACCCGATTAGCATCTCGCCTGGGGCCTAGGAGTCTCTGGGAATCTCGGGGAGTAGGGTCAAAGCGACACCGTGACGGGTTTAGGGTTCTGGGTTTAGGGTGGTCTGAGGTTTTCGATTCGAGAGATGCAGCAGCGCGCTTTAAGTATGCAGTGGGTGCATCTTTGGCAAAGAGGTACAGGGGATTGCAGCTGCAGCGGCTTTGCGGTATACCTGGCTAGCCCAGGCTCTTCGAACGATAACCCGGGATTCATAGAATAGCTCTCTATCTTACTAGAGTGGCCAGAGGAGTAGGTTCAAGGTTGGAGCTCAACATATGGTTCCGCCCCCGAAAGATATATACGATCTGCTGTTCAACATGATACTTTCAAACAGCCGACAAGGCCTCCGTTGACCTTGAAGTACCGGTGCTCAACTACACTTGCTGCTAGTTAGACTGCCGCCACTACTGCTAAACAGTAAACTACCTATGCTTGCACCCTAAGCCCAAAAACCAGCGCCCAGCGCCGGACACGAAGAGCGTAAATCTTCTGATCTTTCGTACATTGCTTCTATGGTAAACCTTACACCAACTCCTATAGGTCATCTCGTATAAACCCTCAGAATAAGTCTGGTAGGAACTCTTGTAAACCCTAATAAGAACTGTTAACCCTAAAACCTAAACGCTAAACCCTAGAATCCTTCTGGAGACTCTTTCTTTACTTGCAGCGGTCCCGAGGAGCTGAGGGTTGGCCTTTTGGAGAAGGTGAAGGTGGACCCAGTGAGCGAGCAGTACGTGTTGGAGGTCGGGGGGTAGTTTTGGTGGACGAGGGGTTGAGGGTTTTAGGGGGTTAGATTGATGGAGGGTTGGGGCATTTCTGATTTGTTGTTGGGGTTTAGGGTTTGGTAGGGTTTGAGGGCTTGGGGGTCACAAGGGCAAGAGCTCATGCAGCTTTAACGGACAGAGAAGCCTGGAGGCTGGAAGCAGGAAGCACCAGACCCCCTCCCTTTCGAAGAGCTTTGGGCCAAAGTTGTTGGTACTTCTGAGGCCCTGAAACCCGGGAATTCGTCTCAAAAATTTTCTTACAGCCCTCATCATCAAAATGTCAAACTTAAGCTTCTTGCAGAGGTCCAGCAGCTGCGGCGGGCTTGGAAGGACCACCAGGAAAACTTGGCCGGTCACGATCGGGCGCGAGCGTTGGAGATTGGCCCTGTTTGAGTTGAATTCGGCGTGCATGTGGTTCTGGGTATACCCATAGGCTCCAAAGTAATTAGTTCCTTTTTGTGGTTTGTATTTAGGATCCTACAAGGTAATCCCAAAACGGAACTACTAGGGTTTAAGCCGGGAGCCAGTTGGATGTAGACTGTTGCGGTTTCAGGTCTCCGAGAAGTCGGAGCTGCAAGAGTTCAGGGTTTAGGGGTTAATTTAGGGGTTTAGGGGTTTATGGGGTTTATGGGGTTTAGGGTTTAGGGGTTTAGTGTTTAGGGTAGGATTTGGGAGATCTGTCACAGAAGCGGCTGAGGTTTGGCTTTGGCTAGACAGTAGCGAGCAGGAGGCAAGGTCTTTAAATAGGGGCCTTAAAAAATTGCCTATACTATTTTGGGGGGTTCCCCCAAAACCCCATTCTGATGATTAAGGCCGCCACATGAAGCCAAGGAGAGGGATGCAATGCATGCCATCGTCGAGAGTCAGCTCATCGCAGCACAGATGAACTTCCAAGATGATCAGGACAGGAAGAACGTGGCCCACTTAGGGCTTTAGGGTTTAGGGGGTTTCGGGGTTTAGGGGTTTAGGGGTTTGGAGCTTCCAAGATGATCAGGACAGGAAGAACGTGGCCCTCTTCGGCTGCAAGCCGGAGAAGGGTGATCGGGATGGGCTTCTACCCAACATCGATCAAACTCCTCGGAAGAAGGAGGTTAAGACCACATCTCCGATTATCTCCCTGGATAAGCGCTGCCTTTCCTGTTGCAGCAACACTGGGACTGTCCTCGCGGGCTTCAAGATCGCTTGCTTGAATTACACACCTGGTCCTGTGGAGTACCACCAGGTGGCTGCAGCTGCACTTCAAGCATCTTTTCGGATAAGAGCATTGACAAGATGCTCCTAGAGTCCTAGAGTAGGAAGCTAGCAGTAAACTGCTGAATGCACATAGAAAAACCCTCACTGCTCGGATTCATGCACCTGCCTACTGAGGTCTCCTATTCCCGTGCAGAGCTCCTCCATTTGCAGGCAAAGCTCTTGGACCAAGCCCAAGACCGAATGCACCGAGCAGCGGGTCTGTGAAAAGAAAGCCCGTCTGCAAGAACTTGCAGTTCAAGAGGTTGCATTGCAAGTGGAGATGCACATGCAGAAACTTCAGTGAAGCCTTGCATCAACTTCACCCTGCAGAAGTCTACACCCACAATCCCACTGGCATGACCTTGCGCCTGCCACCCACCCACCAGACCACGGACGGAATAATGAGTCATCTAGCTCCTTTCCTTGCTACACATGATATGAAGTCTACTTACTTACGGTGTCAGTCACTTTACGGGCCGATTAAGCTTGGTAAGATGTGGTACACGGTAGCCGCTAGCCGTTCAGACTGGATCAGAACGTGGACACGCATGTTTTGCAAGTTAGTGATTCCTGAAAAAAAGTTATACTAAAATGTACCCGCAAACCCCATTCTGTGTATTAAGGCCCCTGTAAGGTACCCGCAAACCTGTTCTAATGATTAAGTCCCCTAGATTATGTGGTAGGCCACGGGCTCTACAGCTTCCATAGTAAGAGTGGCATGTGTAACTCACAGACAGGGCCGGCTCTGCTTTCATCATTGATTCTGGCTCTGTAAGTAGTGCCTAGGGTTTTGGGTTTTGGGTTTGTAACAAGGGCAAAGACATAGTGCTTCTGTCGTAGCTTTACATTCCTTGTCTTCAACTGCAACGCCACGTCAGATGTGCTGTAAGATCAGTAGGACGCTAATGATGCAGGAAATGCTTTCACTTCGGTGGAAATGCCTTGTATTACCTGCAACCTGCTAAGCTGCACTAGACATTGATGTTCTTTCGGCCCACTTTGGGCACTTTGGGCGGGCCTGACTCAAGAATATACTGTGTACGTATATACATAGATGTACATATGCACATATACATACAAGTGTATATGATATATATTTATATATAGATACATATATGTATTCATTGAACTGGTTATTTACAAAAAACTATATATATACATATAAGATGTATGCATGCATGCATGTATGTCTGTATGTATGTATGTATGCATTTACGTAATGTATGTATGTATGTATGTATGCATGCATATATGTACGCATGTATGTATGTATGTATGTATGTATGTATGTATGTATGTATATGTCTAGATAGATAGATAGATAGATAGATAGTTAGATAAATAGATAGGTAGAGAGATAGGCATTCTGCTGCGACTCGCACACCTTCGGAAGGCTCCTCTGCAGCGCCGGCTCCGACCGAGACAGTCGCGGAGGGCGCTGAGGTGCGAGGGTGTCGAGAGCAGGGCTCAGGGTTCAGAGCTTATGGGGTTTGGAGGGGTTTAGAGTTTAGGGTTTAGGGTTGGAGGGGTTTAGTGGGTCTTAGAGCTTATAGGGTTCAGAGGTGCTTGGAGCTGCGGATGTCAGGGTCTAGGGGTCTCGGAACATATTCATGTTCAGCCCCTTGTGAGGTGCAATGCCCGGGCTTGGGATATGTAAGGGGTCGGGTACAGTAATTGCCGATAAAATTTGAGATAGACTCATGGACAGCTTGTGTGTGAGGGCATAGACGTGGCATTGACAGAATGCTGACTGACCTTGCAAGCAGACCGCACAACCTTGCGTTGTTCTGGGTATTTCTAGCATCATGCACCTTGGGGCACAAAACCCTAAACCCCTAAACCCTAAACCCAAAATCAACGACTCGCTCGCCTGGCAGGATGATGAGGACGATGATGAAGATGCTGACATGGACTTTGATTGGCGGGCCAAGGGTTTCGGCTAAAGCCAGAAGCGGAAAATGCCATGTGCTTTGGGGGTTTAGGGTTTAGGGTTAGAGTTTAGGTTTTAGGGTTTAGGGTTTCGTGTTGTGCTTGTGTTTGGAGTCGCGAAGCTTGTCCTCGGAACTGTCAAACTATGGTACTTCGCCCATGTCCGTCTGGATGGCATCAGTGGCTTCGAGCTGCATAGACTTTATCCCGATTGCATGCATGTCCACTGCATGGTGACCCTTCTTATTTGCTCCGGCTCCCTGAACCCTAAAACCGTAATCAGAATCTTTAGGTGCACATGTATTTGCATGTGTGCACAGTCATGTGTGTGTGTGTATATATATATATACATACATACATATATATATATATATATGTATGCCTATTGCCTGATGGTTTGTTGGTTGTAGACACACCGAAAATGTATATTCATCTACATACACATATATATATATAGACATACACGTGCGTGTAACTTGTATGTACAGGCTTGCACTTGCTTTATGAACAGATGAAGAATGATAACACAGTGAAGCACACTTGACGAAGTGCTGGCAGCTTGGACTGCAGTTGTTTGCCTGGTGGAGAAGGACACCCGCAGCGTTTCATCAAGCTATCGCCGAGCATCTTGGCAACGTGAACCAGGTACATGAAGAATCGGATTGCAGTGTACTGCACAGGCTGCAAAGAATTCCACACAGCAGACTGAAGTAAACAGGCTCCTCCTAGTCCAGCAGAGACTTCAGATGGTAGTTCTTGGCACGATCCCGCTCGGGTGATCCGCTTCGCCAAGCAAGATGCCGCAACAGGTTTGGAAAAGGACCCCTTTCCCTAAACCCTTAAACCCTAAACCCTTAAGCTCTTAAACCCCAAAAAACTCTAAACCCTAAAACCCTCAATAGGTACCCTGCCTCTAAATTCGGCATTGCACAGAGACTGCTTTCCCGGTTGACGCCAGGAAGATCTCCACCAAAGAACCTGTCAACTTTGGAGGCCGCAAGAAGTCGTAGGAGCCGTCTGGGGTTTAGGGTACCTTTGTAGGGCTTTGGGGTCTAGGACTTGGGTTTAGGGTTTCTTTGTAGGGTTTTGGGGTCTAGGACTTGGGTTTAGGGTTTCTTTGTAGGGTTTTGGGGTCTAGGACTTGAGGGATATTTAGGGTTTAGGGTTCAGGTAGGAGCTGTCTGGGGTTCTGAGTTTCTTTGTAGGGTTTTAGGGTTTAGGACTTGAGGGATATTTAGGGTCTGGGGTTTAGGATTTCTTTGTAGGGTTTGAGGGTTTAGGACTTTAGGGATATTTGGGGTTTAGGGTTCAGAGTTTTTAGGGATTTAGGACTTTAGGGGAATTTGGGGTCTGTGATGATGGCATTGGTGAAGCAGGCAACGACTCCCCACTCCGACTGCAGCTTCGCGGCTGCATGCTTTGGGAGAAGTCTCCCACAGCCCAGTCCGCTCCTCGGCACATCTCGGCACCAGCCATGCCCCAACTCTGGGATGCTATGCTATCCCAGAGTATTAGGGCTTAGGGTTTAGGGTTATCACGTTGCATGCTGTACATCCTGCAGAAAGATGTCATATACCCGATAGGATATGACAGATCATGTCTGACATAGTGACCCCCAAACTCGAACCCCCAAAGCCGAAACTTCTTGGTGCCGACCCTAAACCCTAAACCCTAAACCCTAAAACCCTAAACTCTAAACCCTAAACCCTCAACCATAAAACCCTTGGAGCGAGGTCCACGCTCTACGTGTCCTTTGCCGGCGGAAAGCCACTGGCCTTGGCGAGAGCTTCCCAAGCTAGCCCGTACTGCCAGGCACCTTACTACTAGTATCTACTAGTATAATTACTATTGCAATTGCATGGTTCTAATTGTCATGGACTAGTCGTCTCCGCCTTCTTGCAAGTATTATGTTTCTTATTCTTGCTCATCTGGTTCTTATTGAAATACACCTACAAATACGATTTCTCGGTCTGTTATGACAACTGTTGCTGATGTTGCTATTGCTGATCGGACCGATTTCATCTACCTGAACCTGAAAAAGCGCAACAAATCCCAAATCTAAAATCCAGATTCCAACTGACCGTTTGTGCCATGCCGTGCGCAGGGAAAGGACCGTGTTGAACCCTCAAACTTTTGAAAGTACCCTACTTTATAGTCTACTAAAGTATATACGATAAGATACCATCTTATGCTATAGTATAACAATTTGCTATTTAGCCCTTTGGAAAGCCGAAACCGCGCTTTCCGGATCCTCAAGGGCTGGCCAGCTGTCGTGAGCCTGGCAGGTGCGGTTCCAGGCGGACTCTGTAGACGGCGAGGCAGGTCGTGGTCTGATGATGATGATGATGATCATGATCATGATCATGATGATGGTGATGATGATCATGATGATGATGATGATGATGACGACGATTGTCGTCATCATTGTTGGTGCTGCTATGATTCTGTTTAGTATTGGTATTACTATGACTGCCATGATTGCTATTATCATATGTCCTTCTCAACTCACCATCTCTCTCAGGGGAGTGTTCTAACTGGAGTCACTCGCGGCATTCCTTCAAGAGTAGTTTCAGTTCGTTTGAGTTCGAGAGCAGGCACCTCTAGGATAATGAAGAACCCCCGAAGGTACGCAACCGCCTGAAGGACTTCAGAGTTTTGCGGTTAGGGTTTAGGGTTCAGGGTTTAGGGGTTGAGGGGTTTAGGATTCAGGCTTCTTCTTGCCCTCCAGGTCTCCTTCACCTGTGACGGTGGGGACTTGCTGGTGATCGGCGTCGTGGTCCCCGACAACGGCGTGGAAACTCAGCTTTTTGCCGTCAAGGTCTATACAGAGAAAAGTTGCAGCGGCTCCGAACAGTCTGAACAGTCGTTCGGCCTTTGGCCCCTTGACATTTGACATGAGAAAGGGGTTTAGCAGTTTAGCCAAGTTGCTGCATCCGGGTTATTCCCTCTAGGCACCCAACATCAAGCTGTGGCGAGATCTGTGAAAGGAGACATCTTCGAGCCACCAGCGAAGAGATCTAGGCAAGTTCACAGGGCTGCAAGGGAGTGCTTGGCGTCTTGGGTATCGCGGAATTCTGATAGTACTCTTCGTTTCCATCGTGAGGAACAGATCCAGGATAGATCAACGAGTTCTCTGAATTTGCTATGTATGGCTTCCTGTCCTTGCTCCTCCAAACTTGGTATGGCCGCATTCATCACGTAGCGTGTTTGACGTCATCAAGGACTGGGCATTGCAGGTGATGGGCATGCTTTCTCATCTTGACACTGAATCCCAAGCCGCAAAATCCGAAAAAACCCTGCTTGGAATCCCACACCCGGATCCGCAACGCCAAAGCCTCAAACCCTGCAACCTTGAATCCCCAAACCTTGCACCCTGCGGCCCTAAATCCGAAGATTCCAAACCCCAACACCCTTAATCCCGAAAGCTGACAGCCTCACCCAAAAAGTTCGAAGCTCTAGAGCGCTTGAGATCTTGTTGGCTTTGACTTCTGCTTTCGAGGACGATTGGACAAGAAAGTAAAGCCGACTAGCGAGTGGCCATCAACTGTTACTTGGGGAAGTATGAGCAGAGGAAGAGTCAAACCAGTACCGAAAATAGTTCATTGAGAGTGGTATGGCGAGTGTGTATATAAAGATGTCGGTACAAAGAACTATATACACAGATGCACTAATGTACTTTTTGTCATAGAATGCATGCATATATGTGTACATATACATATGTGTATAATATCTGGGTACATATATATATATGCATGTATTGTACATACATGCATACATACATACATGCAGCGAGAGCGAGAGAGAGAGAGAGAGAGAGAGAGCCCAAGGTGTTTTGTCAGTAGTTGGATGGGTTTGTGCCTTGTGAGCAATGCTCCCTCTGCTGTTGCCTCGTAGAGAGAGAGAGAGAGAGAGAGAGAGAGAGAGCCAGGTGCATCCAACTAACAACTATGTATGTATGTATGTATGTATGTATGTATGTATGTATTAATGTAATGTAATGTAATGTAATGTAATGTAATGTAATGTAATGTATGTATGTATGTATGTATGTATGTACATACAAGGAAATCATCGGTGCCGTCGGCTCTGTGTTCAATCGCAGACTTCTGACTTGTGTGTTATCGGGTGATTGTTTGGAGGAAATATTTCCCAGTGGCACAGTCCTAGGTCCTAGGCTTCATCACCGCAACGACATAACGAGATATCCTCACGACCTCTGGCCAGGGTGCAGACACCGGATGGAGGCATCCGGGGGGCCTTTGAAATTAGAGCCAATTTTCAAGGGGCCTGGCATAGGCGTCTGTTACGACAACTGCGGCAATGATAAGCAGCATGAACTGTGAAAGGGATCCCGTTCAGAATGGCCCCGACCTTGGACACTGTCTGACTGTGTGCGAGGTAGCCAAGCTGCAGCACCTGCACCATCTCCAAAGAAGGAGGTGCGCATGCGGCCAAAAATCCACGCAGCCATGTACCCTATAAGCCCTAAGCAAGACCAGTCTCGTCAAGAGCGGAAGGCGGCGAAAGCGCCGGCCTCTGGCGCGGAGAAGCAGCCGGCGGAGAAGGATGGGGATCGACGTGTTGCAAGGCAGTTGCAGCGAAGATCCTGTATGAGACGTGCTTCATGAGGCCAAGCCAGCAGAGGCCAAGGCTTCTCGACTGGTTCTTATGCCTTTAGCTTCCGAAGCCGATGGCCCTGGTTTGAGGCGGCGCCCAAACCTGCGCCAGAGACGAAGGCCAAGGCCGCGCCGCAGCCCGCGTCGAAAGACAAGGCGAGCACAGATAAGGCCGGAGTCCTCCCTAAACCGCTACCTTGAGTTGAAGAAGAACTGGTTATTGGGAGAGGGAGAGGGTTGGCCTTGGGCTTGCCGGTGTGGAGGCCAAAGAGATCTTGCCTTATGCTGCCAAACAGCCAAATTCCAAAGCATCGAAGGACGGTGCCTCTTGGTCTGCAGTTGCTGTGGAACTCCTGCATTAGCTACTCTGAAATCACATCGCCCGGCAGGAGAAGCCGGGTACACCGGTGACACACCGGATGCTAGCATCAGGCTCTTTCCACCAGATCGCAAAGGGGTGCAGCCAGATCAGATCGCAGAAGTCGAGTGCTGCGAGGTCTCAGGTATGAGGTCCTGAAGTCCGGTTCTGGAATTCCTGTCATGTTTGTTGGGCTTCTGTTGTGGCTGAAACCTCTTCGGTGCTTTGCCAGGTCCTCAGGCAATGCCCGGAAAGGAAGTGAAAGTGCGATACGAGGGACGTCTCGGAAGCACAGGCCACTTTCAACTTCCCATCTCGGGAACCCAGGTGTTCTAAGCCAGTCTGCCTTTTCAATGCCCCTGAAATCAGTCCTGATTCGGAAAACCCTGCAATGTCGCGTGTTGCTCCTTTCCCCTAAACCCTAAACCCTCAACCCTCTTCCTTCCACGCCCATGGTCGAGGTGGCAGGTTCGACAAAGGCGTCATCAAGTTTCGCCTTGGTATGGGCGAAGTGATACAGGGCTGGGACCAAGGGGTGAAGGCCGGTCTTGAAGTGAAGTGCTCTGTCTTTGATTTGGGAGTTTCCGAAAATAGGGGACCCAAATATAGTACCCTAAATAGTAGGATCCTTATTATAACGACCCCAAAAAAGGACCCTAATTATAGGAAACCCCCATTTTTCTTTAACTTTCAACCCTCTGCCCTGTCTTTTGTCAGGGCATGCTCCGAGGCGAAAAGCGGAGGCTCTTGGTGCCCCCGCCCGCCTTTTGCAGTATTTTGGACTTGAGCCCAGTGGCTGCAGAGCGCATGCTTGGTCTGGCAGGTACCATCAAAACTGGGAGCTTCTGGCATGTTGTTACTAGCATCTCGAAGATGCCTTTACTGTGCTTCCTTGTGCTGCTGGGCCCTGAGCATCCCTGAACCCTATCCTGCAAAACTTGAAGAGTGCTGAGCCTGATGTAGTATATCATAGTATATTATTATAGTAATTTCTGGTAGTATCTTATAGAAATTTCTAGTCGTATGTTGTCTAGTATATGAAAATAATTTCTCCAGTAGTATGTTATCGTGGATTAAAGTAATTTCTAGCAGAAAATTATAGCGAATTCTAGTGGCATGGTATGGTCTATTAAAGTATCTTCTAGTAGTATCTTACCTCGTATGATGGTAAACCCTTAGACGAAGAAGGGATCTTCAGCTCTGGCCTTGCCAGGCTACGGTCGGAGTGGGGCCCCGCCGGCTTCCTCAGCGCGTTTCGATTCCCGCCGACTCAGACTCCTCCGAAAGCCAAGAAGGTTTAGGGTTTTCGGGTTTAGGGATTTTGGGTTTTCGGTTTAGGGATTTAGGGTTTTCGGTTTAGGGAGTAAAGCCTTAAAGTAGGGCTGTAATCTCTAGTCCGAACCTCAACCCCAAATTTTCTAAACCCTAAACCCCTAGACCTTAAACCCTGGTTAGCAGCATGGATTCAGCCAAGGCCGGCGATCCCTCCGAATGCTGATCTGGTGTTTGAGGTTGAGCTGCTGTGAGAGCAGATGATCTTTGCACCTTACATCACTTTAACTATCTCTGAAATGCTCAGAAGGCTTGTCGCGTGCGAAGGACCGCATGCGAAGCTTTCATGCACTCGGGACGTTTCAGCCGGGGGAAGGGGTGGGCTGAATTCTCGGATAAGTGCATTTTGCAAACCTTTGCCGTTCAGCCAGTGCAGTGAACCATGACCAATGCCGAAACCAGACCGGGTCCAAGTCAGCCCACCCTTGACCTGTAAGAACTGTACCCCGATAACGTCAACTTGATTGATCGCCTGTGGAAGTTTGAAACGGTGCTTGCTTGCTTTGTCTGACTCCCAGTCCCACGCTGCTGGCCGCATGTATTCCATTGATCGCAAATGTTGTGTTCTCTGTTGTGTCATGCTTCTTCGCTCGCAGTTTTGAGCCGCTTCAATGGGCAGTTTGAAAGCCCTGTTACCCGCAAGGCTCTAATTGCAAGGTCCAGTCTTGAGTGTGAACACAGTGACACCACTGGAACATGTGCAGTGTATCAAAACCCTTCCTGGTGCCGACATACTGGAGTTTCCTTCGCAGCGCCCCGAGTGCCTTGCTTGCGATTCTCGGGATGATCGAGGCCAGCTGATGCATTGACACCTGCAGCAGCAGCTGTAGAGCATTCAAAGTCTTTCAGGAATACAAGCCTCCCTAAACCCTAAACCCTGATGTTCGTTGCAGGTGATCTGCAATGACCGTATTGGGCGAAAGATCCGAGTGAAGTGCAACCCTGATGACACCATCGCGGACCTCAAAAAGCTTATCGCGGCACAGCCGCCGGCTTAAAGCCTCTTCGGACAATCAAGTGTGGACATCTGATACCAGAATCAAGGTGTGGGACCCGATGGGAAAAGATTCGAATACAAAAATGGTACAACACGTACAAGGCCGGAAGCTTTGCAAAGACTCCGTCTAGCTTGCTCCATGGTCATTGGGGGGTATCGAGTGCAGGACCACATCACTCTCGAGGACTATGAGATCAAAGACGGTATGGGTGGCTTGCTTATTTTGATGCGACTCGACGGGTTTGCGGCTACAGTGTTCAATCTAAGGCTTGGAGCTCTACTACAATTAGATGCGTGTCTTCCGCTGCGGATTTCAAGCCAATCCGTGATACGTCCAATCGGTCTCTCGAACCCTATTGAAAAAGAGGTTTCTTCTTTATTTGTGGATTTCATTTCTTTCGCGAGCGGATGAATGTCATTAAAATAAACTGGTTGAATCCAATCAGTCGATATTTTATATTGCTTTCATAAGGAGTTGGCTCCATAATGATTTCAAGATATATGATTTTTCGATAATCTGCGAAAGTTTTCATTTTTATTTCGGAAAGAGATGTTTTGAATTGGGAATAGAAGATATAACTAGATTTCATGGAGATCTGGAGAATTTCGATTAGATTGATTGATTTTCTGATTTGATAGGGATATATATTTTCTGATGAGGTTTTATTTGTAATAAGTCATTATATTAGAGAATATATGAGAAATATATATTCTCTACTAATTCGAAATGGGTGTGTCTTTGGCTTTGGCCTTTATAAATTCGTCTTTTGCTATCTTTCTGTTTGAATCGTTTTGTCTGTTTGTCTTACGGGATAGAGATATATATATATTTGAATAATTAGGCGTTTGATGTTCTTCCCTTGTATTGTGATATGGTAGGGCCGGGGGGGGGGGCTTGGGTTGTGCGGAGAATGAATTGACCGGTTGGGTGGGACGTTGTTATGGGCGATCGGCACGATGTCTTGGAGGAGATTAGATTCTTATATAAATTATATTTACGATATAAATTCGATAATCTGAGATATATTTTTATTCTATGAAATTTAAATTATATATCTAAATATAAATTTCGTTAAAAATATAATTTCTATATTTGAAATAGAATATAAATCGTTATTTTAAGCAATTTTTTCTTAATATTACTTATTTGATTCTTAATTCGAAATTCTAAACCCCCTAAATTCAAAACTTTAAACTAAATTTTAATATTTTATGTCTACGCTCTAAGGGAGAAGAAAGATCCCACATTAGTGTCTTGGACTATATGCTGGGGGGGAGGTGAGAAGGGGGAACCGCGGAACATTTGATTATATAGAGAAATTACTATTTAGATTGAGACCGTTCTGGGAATATTATACGGTTATAGATATTATATGTACGTTAGTCATCGATATACGAGACTCAAGAAGCTTTTTATATCCCTTCTTGGGAGGTTATATTATTTTAGCGGCAGCTCAAATTTATAGGAGGAATTGTTCTGTTAGCGATGCCGGTGGTCGCGAGGAGCCGACATATAATAGTTAGCGAGTGGGGATATGGCGAAGCAGACTTATTGAAGCTGACGAAAACCGACTTTGTATGATATGAGATCTTATTATAGCATCGTCATGACCACTCATGCAGATTTCGTATTAAGATGGATGAAAATTATGAGATAGATATATTTATAGAATATCTGTGAATTCATTTATAATGCCAATATTATTGAGAGGTTTTACAATCTGATATACGAATTAGTTAGTGAATTCATTGCTTAAAATGATTATATATAGAATAAATCGAAATATGAGATATCATACTTATATCTATATAATTATTTAATCTTCGCTCCATTGCATAATGATATGTGAATCTGTCAAATTAGCAATCAATGGCAATCATGGGAGCAGTTCGTGTCTCGCTTTGATATATAAAAGATTAGATATTATTATTAGAAATATAGATTTCGTTATCTTTGGAATCCGATCTCTATTCTTTTTCAGAGCCATATCTAAATTACTATACGACCTATTCTTCTATAACGAACTCAAAAAATTCAAATATGACTTTAGAATTTCGTCTCAATTTTCTTGTCATATATTTTGATCATTGCCATAGATCTTGTTTTTATAATTGATTTTATACTTCATCAACACTAGCCGGGTTAGTAATATATATATATATCTCGGTTTCTTGTCATTTCTGAATCAAGACTCACTATGTCAACTATTGCTATGATTATCCATTCAGAATACTTCGTATATTTTTCAGAAATTTTGCTTCTCAGTAGCCAAATATTATATACGAAGAAATTGTACCACGTGCTGAATCCCGTATTTATAAATATATAAACCTACCATTAAATACCTATTGAATATTCACGTCTTTGCTTATGAGGCCTCTTGGTACAGTGATGGTTAATCAAGCAGCACATTTGCTTGTTTCTAAACTGTTG